TCCTGAGTGGGGTTTTTAATGGGCTTTTAGGGATCCTAGGGGCTTTTTGGGGTTCCTAGATGGGGTTTTTTGGGGAGTCCCAGGTGGGCTTTTTGGGGTTCCCAGGAGGATTTGGGGGTCCTAGATGGGTTTTTCGGGGTCCTAGATGGAGTTTTTTGAGGGGTCCCAGGTGGGGTTTTTTGGGGGTCCCAGGTGGGGTTTTTTGGGGATCCTAGATGGGGTTTTAAAGGGTTCCCAGGAGAATTTTGGGGATCTCTAGATGGGATTTTTTAGGGGTGTCCCAGATGGAGTCTTTTTGGGGTCCTAGATGGGGCTTTGGAGGTTCCTAGGTGGGGTTTTTGGGGATCCCAAATGGGGTTTCTGGGGGTTCCCAGATGGGATTTTTGGGGGTTCCCAGGTGGGATTTTTGGGGATTCCCAGGAGGATTTTGGGGGGTCCCAAGTGGGATTTTTGGGGGTTCCCAAGTGAGTTTTTTGGGGGGGTCCCAGATGGAGTTTTTTGGGGGGTCCCGGGTGGGCTTTTGGAGGTTCCCAGGTGGATTTTTGGGGAGTCCCAGGTGGGGTTTTTGGGAGGTCCCAGGAGGATTTTGGGGGTCCCAGATGGGTTTTTTGGGGGGTCCCAGGTGGATTTTTGGGGTTCCCTAGGTAGGGGATTTTTGGGGGTCTCTAAATGGGATTTTTTGGGGGTCCTAGATGGGGATTTTAGGGGGTCCCAGATGGGATTTTTGGGGGGTTCTCAGGTGGGATTTTTGGGGGTTCCCAGGATGATTTCAGGGGGTCCCAGATGGGATTTTTGGGGGGACCCAGATTGGATTTTTAGGGGTCCCAGGTGATTTTTGGAGGGTCCTAGATTGGATTTTTAGGGGGTCCCAGGTGGGTTTCTGGGGGCTCTCAGGAGGATTTTGGGAGTCCCAGATGGGATTTTTGGGGGGTCCCAGGTGGGGTTTTTTGGGGGTTCCCAGGTGGGATTTTTGGGGGTTCCCAGGGCAATTTTAGGGGTCCCAGAAGGATTTTGGGGTTTCCAGGAGGATTTTGGGGGTCCCAGGGCAATTTTGGGGTTCCCAGGAGGATTTTGGGGGTTCCCAGGGCAATTTTGGGGGTGTCCCCCCCTCACCTTCTGCCAGATGTCCTCGAACTGCTCCACCCCCTCCGACACCTTCTTGAGGCACCTGTCGATCTCACCTGGGGGGAGGGGCCACACCCAAATCTCACAGCCAATCAGAGCCGCCCGTGACCCCACCCAAAATGTGACAGCCAATCAGAGACAGCTCCAGTCACACCTAAAATCTGACAGCCAATCAGAGACAACTCCAACCACACCCAAAATGTGACAGCCAATCAGAGACAGCTCCAGCCACACCCAAAATCTGGTAGCCAATCAGAGCCGTCCTTGGCCACACCCAAAATCTGACAGCCAATCTGAGACAGCCCGGGCCACACCCAAAACATGACAGCCAATCAAAGTTCTTCTTGGTCACACCCAAAAATGTGACAGCCAATCAGAATTGTCCTTGGTCACACCCAAAAATCTGACAGCCAATCAGAGACAGCTTCAACCACACCCAAAATGTCCCTCCCAGCCAATCAGAAACATTCGTGACCACACCCAAAGTGCTTCAGCCAATCAGAGACAGTTCCAGCCACACCCAAAGTGCCACAGCCAATCAGAGCGGCCCCTGTGGCCACACCCACCGCGCCCCAGCCAATCAGAGCTCACTCCTGCAGCCTTGTCAGCCATGCTGGGGCTTCTGCATCCCTCGGGGCGCCTGGGGCAGGGGGCCAGGCACCCCAAACACCCCCAAAACATCCCCAAAACACCCCAGACCTCCCCTGAGCCCCCCAAACCCCCAGACCCCCAAGAGACTCCCCCTGAGAGACCCCCGAGAGACCCCCAAACCTCCCCAAACCACCTCAGACCCCAGAGGACCCCCAGACCTCCCTGAGCCCCCAAACCTCCCCAAACCCCCCAGACTCCTCAGAGAGACCCCCAGACCTACCTGAGCCCCCAAACCCTCCCAACCCCCCAGACCCTCAGAGAGACCCCCAGACCTACCTGAGCCCCCAAACCCTCCCAACCTCCCCAGACCTCCAGAGAGACTCCCTAGACACCCAGAGAGCCCCCAGACCCTCATAGAGACCCCCAGACCCCCTAGAGACCCCCAGATCCTCATAGAGCCCCCCAGACCTCCCTGAGCTCCCCCACCCCCAAAACTCCCCAGACCTCTAGAGAGCCCCAGACCCCCCAGACAGCCCCCAGACCTCTAGAGCCCCCAGACCCCCAGAGAGCCCCCTAGACCCCTATAGAGCCACCAGACCCTCATAGAGACCCCAGACCCCTCTAGAGCCCCCCAGACCCCCAGAGAGCCCCCCAGAACCCTTTAGAGCCCCCAGACCCCTATAGAGCCCCCAGACCCCCAGAGAGCCCCCAAACCCTCCCCAAACCCCCAGACCCCCAGAGAGCCCCCAGACTCCCATAGAGACCCCAGACCCCTTTAGAGACCCCTATAGAGCCCCCAGACCCCTTTAGAGCCCCCAGACCCCTCTAGAAACCCCCAAACCCCAGAGAGCCCCTCAGACCGCCCCAGACCTCCCCTGAGCCCCCTAAACCCCCCCAAACCCCCCAGACCCCCAGAGAGACCCCCACACCCCCATAGAGCCTCATGGACCCCCACAGAGCCCCCAGACCTCCCCACCACCCCCAAAACCCCCCGAGACCCCCAGAGGCCTCACGGACCCCAGAGAGACCCCCAGACCTCCCTGAGCCCCCAAACCCCCCCCAAACCCCCCAGAGAGACCCCAGACCTCCCTGAGCCCCCAAACCCCCCAAGACCACCCAGAGAGACCCCCAGACCCCCAGAGAGCCTCCCAGACCTCCCTGAGCCCCCAAAACCCTCCCCAAACCCCCAGACCCCCAGAGAGACCCCCCAGACTCCTCAGAGAGCCCCCACACCTCCCTGAGCCCCCAAACCCCCAGACACCCAGAGAGATCCCTAAACCCCCAGAGAGCCCCCAGACCTCCCTGAGCTCCCAACCCCCCAAACCCCAGAGACTCCGACCTAGAGAGACTCCCCAGACCTCCCTGAGCCCCCAAACCTCCCAAACCCACCCAGAGACCCCCAGACCCCAGAGAGCCTCCCAGACCTCCCCAGAGACCCCCCAAACCCTCCCCCAAACCCCCCAGACCCCCAGAGAGACCCCAGACTCCCAGGAGCCCCCACACCTCCCCTGAGCCCCCAAACCCCCAGACACCCAGAGATCCCCAAACCCCAGAGAGCCCCCCAGACCTCCTAGAGCCCTCCCAACCCCCAAACCCCCGAGACCTCCAGAGAGCCCTCAGAGCCGCCCCGAGACCTCCCTGAGCCCCTAAACCCCCCAAACCCCCAGACCCCAGAGAGACCCCACACCCCATAGAGCCCCCAGATCCCCAGAGAGACCCCCAGACCTCTCTAGAGCCCCCAGACCTCCCTAGAGACTCCCAGACCCCCAGAGAGCTCCCCAGACCCCCAGAGAGCCCCCAGACCCCTATAGAGACCCCCAGACCCCTATAGAGACCCCCAGACAACCCCCGACCCCTCTAGAGCCCCCAGACCTCCCTGAGCTCCCCCAACTCCCCCAAAACCCCTGAGACCCCCAGAGAGACCCCCCAGACCCCCATGGAACCCCTAAAAACCCCTTAGAGCCCCCTGAGCCCTCTAGAGCCCCCAGACCCCATAGAGCCCCCAGACCCCCATAGAGCCCTCAGACCCCCATAGAGCCCCCAGACTCCTCTAGAGCCCCCAGACCCCTATAACCCCACATGCCCCTATAAGCCCCTCCAGACCCTCATGGAACCCCCTAAAAACCCCTTTAGAGCCCCCTGACCCCTCTAGAACCCCTAAAACCCTTCAGAGCCCCTGACCCCTCTAGAACCCCTAAAAACCCTCTAGAGCCCTAAAAACCCCTTTAGAACCCCTAAAAACCCCTCTAGAGCCCCCTGACCCTCTACAGATGGCCACAAAGCCCTCCAGACCCCTCCAGACCTGAAAAAGCCCCATATTCCCCTCTATCCCCACCCAGACCCCAAACAACCCCCATAAATCCCAATAAACCCCAACAGGCCCCTCTAAACCCCTCCAGGCCCCTCTAACCCTCCCAGAGGCCCCTACACACCCCCTTTAGGCCCCTCTTTAGGCTCCTCCATCCCCTCCACCCCCTCAAACCCCCTAAACCCTCACAGACCCCCTAAGCCCTCACAGACCCCCTAAACCCTCACAGACCCCTAAACCCTCATAAACCCTCACAAACCTCCTCAGGCCTCCTCCATCCCCTCTCCCCCTCCCTCAGACCCCCTAAACCCTCACAGACCCCCTAAACCCTCACAAACCCCTAAACCCTCACAGACCCCCCTAAACCCTCACAGACCCTCCTAAACCCTCACAGACCCCCCTAAATCCTCACAAACCCCCTCCCCCCTCAGGCCTCCCCTCACTCCCTCCCTCCTTCCCCTCAGGCCCCATCCAGGTCCGGCGCTTTCCCTCCCTTTTTTCTCCCCACCCGGGGACTCACCGGGGGGTCCCGAGGCGGCCCTTTGGGGGCTGTGATCGCGCCGATCGCGCTGCGATGTCGCGACAGAGGCCGCGACAGGCGGGGGGCGCCTCCTCCTCCTCCTCCCCCCCCGCGCTCGGCGCCGACCCGGCCAAGATGGCGGCGGCTCCCTCAGGCCAACGCCCCGCCCCGCCCGCGCGCGCCGCGCTCCCATTGGCCCCGCCGCGTGTCACTCAGAGAAAAACGCCCGCTGATTGGTGTGCTTCGAGTAGGGCGGGATCGAAGCGCCTGTCAATCAAGGAAAGGACGCGCTCCTATTGGAGGAGCCGCCGAGCTGTGTTTATAACGGCAAAGGGGCGTGGCTGTGGAGAGGCCACGCCCTCAGGGCGGGTTTTGTGCACACGAAGGGAGCTCCTATTGGTCGGAGGGGCTGTCACTCAGGGCAGGGCGGAAGAAGCGGACGTGGTTTCTCATTGGTGGAACCGCAGAGCGAGGGGCGGGGCCACGTGCTGAGCGCCTCTCCCATTGGCTGATTCAGCGGGGGGCGTGGCCAGCGCGATGCCGGGGGGGGGGGGAATGGGACCCCAAAATTCCAACAACCCCCCCCCAAAATCCCGACAAAAAACCCAAAAATCCCGAAAACTCCCTGAAAACCCCTCTGGGACACCCCAAAATCCCGACAACCCCCCCCAAAATCCCAACAGAACCCCCCAAAATCCCAACAAAACCCCTGAAAACCCCTCTGGGACACCCCAAAATCCCAACAAAACCCCCCAAAATCCCAACAAAACCCCCAAAATCCCAGACAGAACTCCCCAAAATCCCAACAAAACCCCCAAAATCCCCAAAAAAAACCCCCAAATCCCAACAGAACCCCCCAAAATCCCGACAAAACCCCCCAAAATCCCAACAAAAGCCCCCAAAATCCCGACAGAACCCCCCAAAATCCCAACAAAAAAACCCCCAAAATCTCAACAGAACCCCCCAAAATCCTCCAAAGACTCTCCAAAATCCCAACAAAACACCCCAAAATCCCAAAAAAAACCCAAAATTCCGAAAAAAACCCCCAAAATCCCCCAAAAAAACCCCAAAATCCCAACAAAACCCCCAAATCCCAAAAACCCCAAAATCCCAACAAAACCCCCAAAAATCCCCAAGACTCCCCTAAAAGTCCTCCCGGGGTCCTCCAACATCCAAGGACCCCCATAAAGCCACCCAAGACCCCCAAAAATTCTTCCAGGACCCCCAAAACCCTCTGGAGCTCCCAAAATCCCCCCATAGATGAAGGAGAAGGGAGGGGTTGTGACATTGGGGGATTTTGGGGTCCCCAGGACTTTTGGGGTCCCCCAGGACTTTGGGGGTCCTGGGGTCGGGAGTCTCGAGGGGGTGGGGACCCTGTTTGTCCCCTGGGCCTTGAGGACCCCCAAAAACTCCCCAAGATGCTCCCCAAGTAAACTCAATATACAAACATTGGGGGTTGGGGGTCCCCAGGACTTTTGGGGGTCCCCAGGACTTTTGGGGGTCCCAGGGGGTCAGGAGGTCTCATGGGGGTGGGGACCCGCTTTGTCCCCTGGACCTTCAGGACCCCCAAAAAACTCCCCCAGGACGCTCCATAAAGAAACTCAATACATAAATACCAGAGGAGGTGACATCGGGGGGTCCCCAGGACTTTGGGGTCCCAAATTTTGGGGTCCAGGGGGTCGGG